TCAAACAACGAATTACAGTGGAAGAGGACGTATCGGCGCAGGGATAAGCAAAAGGGAATCGAGAATACTCGTCAACGATTGTTAAGAGGTACTTATTACGAGTGTTTGAGGGAAGTGGGCCTTTAAAGTCGATACTAAGGCGTTCGAACGGTTGTGTGGCTTTGATAAGCTGGCCACGAAAGGTGTCACAAAATTTTGGTTTGAGCTCGGAGCAAGTGGAACAGTTGGACACCACACGTCGGATATCGCTGACTGAAAAAGGAAGATTCTTAGAACGAACAAAATGTGCAAATCTCGTGACCCCGGGATGGCATAATATGTTGTGAAGCTCTTCAAGTTTTTCCGTCCCAGTAATGTTGGCACAAAGGTTACGAGATAGGGTATCAGCAACGCGGTTATCTGTTCCAGGTCTATAGACGACGTCGTAGTTGTACCCTGCCAACTCGATTTTCCACCGTTCAATCTTGTCGTTCTTTATTTTACTTTTCTGTTGGTTCCCATACATAAAGGCTACCGAACGTTGATCCGTAATCAATTTAAAATGTCTCCCGAGGAGATAGTGGCGCCATTTGCGGATCGCTTCAACTATAGCATATGCTTCTTTTTCAACAGCAGAATGATTTTTCTCGCTTGCAGTCAAGGTTCTGGAGAAAAAGGCGACCGGCCGGCTACCCTGGCTCAGGGATGCACCAATAGCGATGTCGGACGCATCAGTTTCAACAACGAGAGGAATATTGTAGTCGACAGTAACTACCATCGCATTTTCTAGTTCGTGTTTAAGGTTCTCAAATGCTGTTCGGGCATTCTCCGGGAGCGGAAATATTTTGTTTTTAACCAATGGATGAATTTTGTCAGAGAACGCCGGTATCCACTGTGAATAGTAGGCAAACAAACCAACGGCTCTTTGCTGCGATTTCCCGTTCTCTGGAAGTGGGAGTTCTCTTATGGGGCGCATGCGTTCTGGGTCAGGTCTTATAATACCTTTGGAGACCTTGTAACCTAAGAGAGTAATCTCTTCAGTTGCGAAGCTGCTTTTCGTATCGTTCAAAGTAATATTGTATGTTTTTGCGACATCGAGAAAATGCCTAAGATTACGGTCATGTTCATCTCTCGTTTTGCCGCATATAGTGACGTTATCGATATAAGCGAATGTGTCTTTTACCTGTTCGGCTTTGATTATATTGTTCAGCGTTCGCTGAAAACACGCGACCCCGTTTGTCACTCCAAAAGGAATGCGCCGAAACTGGTATAGGTTCCCCCCAGCTTCGAACGCTGTGAATGGCTTGTCTGACTCGATTATTGGAACCTGATGATATGCACTCTGGAGATCCAGTGTGCTGTAGACAGTGTAGCGTGCGATGGTTTCAATCATTTGGTCGAGCCTTGGTAAAGGATAAGCGTCAAGGTAGGTGAAGCGATTGATTGTCTGGCTGTAGTCTATCACCATGCGTCTCTTGTGATTTGCATTGCGGGTAACGAGCACTTGTGCTCTCCACGGAGAATTTGATGGTTCGATTATGCCATCGGTAAGCATTTGGTCTACTTCCGTTTGTATGAATTGTTCATCTTCCGGTGTATGACGACGAGATTTTGTGGCGATCGGTTTGTAATTTGGAGCAAGATTGGTGAATAAGGATGGAGATTCCAGTTTTGCGGATGTTACGCCACATACAGTTAGGGTACCCCGTTGACCACCGAATGGAATTTCGACTTTATCATGTAACCCCAGAAAGTCATGTCCGAGAAGGACGTCTGCACAAAGGTTCGGTAATACACAAAGTCTGAAACGTTCGTATATAGCATCCTTGTACTGAATGGACACAAGGCAATAACCTTTGGTGGAACATGAATGTATCGTCGACGCCATTGTTATCACAGAGTCGTACGGAAATAGCTCCCAGTTATGAGTTTGCAGGATTGATGAAGAAACGAAACTTCTGGAGCTGCCGGTATCAATGAGAGCTCGGACAACAACGCCGTTGACCAAAATATCTGTTGTAGTTTTGGATAGGCAATTGGGAGCAGCAGCACAAAATAGCGAGGAGATTGAGGAGTCTTGAGCTGAACCCGCGTGATATTTCGAGGCTTTGGACCTACAGACACGTTGAAAATGTCCAATTTTTCCACAACTCTTGCACACTGATTCTTTAGCGGGACACTTATAACGAGGGTGCTTGGGGTTGCCACAAAAGTAACATGTTTGTTGTGTAGCGGCCGAAACTGTTGTTTCGGAATTAACAATGGGTAAAGGAGTAGATACCGAACAAGTAACGGGTTGTCTGTATACGTATGATTGTGACTGTTTTTGTGCAAGTTCGAGAGCTCGCGCGGCTTCATGGGCTTTGTCAAGGTCCAATTCATGCCACGTTAGCAGTTTCTCCCGAATGGTATTCAGAGCATCCCGAACTGCTTCGTTTGTATGTTCCACAGCAGATACTGCTTTGAATTCACAGTCTTTAGCAAGCGATTTCAGTTTTTGAACGAATTGGTCGACATCTTGACCAGGTTCTTGTTTGTACGTGACTAAAAGATGGCGTGCATACACGATATTTTTCGGGCGGATGTAAAGTTTTTCCAGCAAGGTTATCGCAGAATCGTAGTCGCTGCATTCTGCGATGAAGTCATGTATGGTATGGTCGATGTGACGAATGAGACTTTCTAATTTATTTAGACCTTCGGGTTTGACTGAGTTAATGTAAGCTTTGAAAGTACCAATGAGTCCANTGAGGATCGGCATCAAAAAGCGTAGGTCGGAGAATATGTTCCATTTCGTTTTTTATTAGACGATTAAATTGTTGCGAGAGTCGAGTAGTTCCAGGACGGGATTAGAAAGGAGACAGAATAGGAAGACGTAATGTACGCTTTAATCGTCTAATAACTGTAGTACATGAGCTGAAAATAGAGTGAGAATCACGAGTTAATGGGTTATGCAAATGTATGGGTTATATAGTCATGACAGTGGTGTATGTGAGATTTCATCCTGTCATGCAAATTGAACCGACATCGCGAAAACTCCTTGTTATCGTCTCAAACCACACTGCCAACCCACCATCAGGACGCACCCAAACACGAAAGAAGCACATGGGCACAGAGTGACGCATCCCCAAGGTCACCACCGGCGTCCGGAAAGTAGGTCAGTCGGCAGCTCCAACCAAACACCGCTTAGCAACATACGACCAGCGTAGTGGGCCTGAAATTGTTCACGACTGGAGCACCGCCATTGGCTGTACAGAACGAACAAATGAACGACCATATTTGGTCATTTAGTCATCCTCTATATTTGCGCAGACGCTCTGAATGTTTTGTCCTGGCAATACAGCCGTGTCCTGAGTTCTCTGTCTTCTCGCTATCGCGTAGTCTGGCAGCTCAGTGCAGGCGTAACCAATAGACGGCCACCCACTATACAACAGAAGGGGGCACGTAGAACAATAGCCTCCTCTTTAGACAATGATTCGGAATGTTCAGCTCATGACTGGGCCACAGACTGATGGAACTTTAGGCTTTCCGCTCCCTAACTAGTACCAGCATCATACCCCCGACGGCCGATGTTGACCGTTTGTTGAAAATAGTTGTGTTGGACCTTCGACGTCTGTTTGGAGGGCTTATGTAGTCGTCACTGAAAAATAATTCGTAAACACAAGTGGTGAGTGAGTATAATGAGTCAGTCAGCCGATTTGATTATCACGCGTATTCGTTACGGAAGCTCAACAGAATGAGTAAGGAATTCCCAGCACGCTCATTCTGAACAACGATTATCCGCACATTTTCATGGTACACCATGAGAGCCCGTACACTACTTCAGAGGCCAGGATTGCGTTTACCAAATCGAGCGCGGTGTGGCGTCAGAAAAACAAATCACTCGGTCTCAAAGGACGCAAATATATTGGGCTGAATGGCGGACTGTATTGTTTTACGACTGTGAGACTTGACCATTTCGGACTATAACTGGAATTAGCTGGAACCAGCGAATTCGGTATGAGGTGATTATGGGACTGGTTCTTAGTGAAACACCTGGTGCTTCACTCAAATATGCATCCAGCGTTGCAAGACAAGGTGCGTGAGTCATGTACTGTGCATGTCAAGTTACCGCCCACCAAGGAGAGTATTGCTTTTCGTGCCCAATTAGGAGTGGCGGAAACCTAGAGATGGACAGAATTTGGCATGGCGAAAATGGTTGCTGGATGTTAGGAAAGGTTTGAATTTTGTAGGTCTTCATCGGCTTCCAGAATGGGGCCTACGTATTCTCCATTTACTCGGCTGGATACACTGAAAGATATGGTGACTAACCGATGTCAGTGGTGTTCATACTGTTACTTTCTATCCAGGTTGGCTGACTGAGTGCTGGATGCGTAGACACCTGAAATGTTTGTGGTGGACCAGATCTATGTATCCCTCGTTCCCCAATTCCTTGTTATCTCTATTATATACCTTTATTCAAATAAATCGACGTTTGTGTTTTGCTGTTGCTGTCACTAATTACAATGGTTAGGAAGCTATTGTATTAAGTTTTTTATCTGGGTGCTACGAGAACGCATGGGGTTCTCAGCGATCGAAATTGCGCCTTGACTAAACTGAGGGCTTGTCCAGAAGATCTCCCTTTCGCTTCTGGGTGGAAGCATGCCTTTCTGTTGTAAGATATCTGGACATCTTTCATGAGACAATTCCGTAAATTCCTTGACGTAACCTGGTAAGAATTTAAATATATCGATTGAGAACCAAAAAATGGCTGTGTCAATCAGAGTCCTGGAAGGCATCCAATGCCTTGGAGTTCACACCAGAGATCACCTGATGATGTCACGCATGTTAGCATATGTTTGTAGTCCATTTTCCGTTCTCGACAAACAAACCGACAACCCCTGCACATTCGAATTTGGCATTTCAGAATTTTCCTGTCAGCTCATCGAAGTCCTGCATCGCATGTTTTTTATTTGTGTCCTCCGGCGAAATAATCCTGCTGCATCTGTCTCCAACTTGAGTAGCTAATTCTCATCCACGAGACCATGCTTTGGTTGCCATGTATGGTTCTTGGTGTATTCGTTGTTTTCACCTATATTTGGATGCGTCGCTACTTTTGCTCTGTGCATTCAGGTAAATTTCGTACAATGGTTATTCTTGGATCCGGTGAGTTCTGCGTCATGCTTCCTTATAGACTAGCTCAGGTGGGCATACGGCAGAAATGCTGCCTCTAGTAAATACCCTTACTGACAAGTACACGCCTCGCATCTATGTGGTTGCTGCAACGGATAAATTGAGCGAGGAGAAGGTACGGTCACTTTGCGAAGAAAAGGGAGAACAAGTTTGTCATCGTTTAATGTGGATCTCATATCCTAGTGTCTGCTGGAGCGTGTTCCAAGGGCACGTGAAGTCAAGCAATCTCCATTCACCAGCATTTTCAGCACACTGCATGAAGCCATTTTGTCCCTACCTATAGTCTTTCGTCACCGTCCAGATTTGGTACGTCTTTCAAGTACCGTGTTTACGTCTTACCCTTGCAACACAGCCAATCCAGAATTTTGTGGATATGTGTCGTTTAGCTGTAGCCATACTTATATCCTATCCTCTTTGAGAGCTATGTTCCCAGATGACTTGCTGCCCCTCACATCGAGGATACCCATATACCTAAAGATTTCTGTACCCGTTATCTATCTATTTACTTATCTGTTTGGGATTCCTTCAGAAACGGAGGATAAATGTGAATTAAAGGAACAAAATCATTCAAGTTTGGCCGGAGAACTGAGTACACCACATATATATATTATATATATCTTATATATATATATATATATATATATATATATACGGTGGTCTGGAGATATATTCGCATTGTTCTCTGCGGTAAGAGTATGAGGGTAATAAGGTTTTTCCTCCAGGTGATCAGCATATCCATATTGATGGTTGCAGCGATACTGCCTTCCCCCGAGGTGGGACGAGTTAGAAAAGTTCGGTCCTGAAAGTGCACATCCCAATTGCCCGACGGCTTACCGTGACCACCGGCGAATCATCCAGTGCGGTCGAAATAAAACTAAAACTAAAAAATAACGAAATAGATGCAACACCGACTGCTTCTGCCGTGCACAGTTGCATCAAGAGTAAGACATCTATGTCTTACTTCCTGTGCCATCGGGTTAGGCTCGTCTCTTTGCAGCCAAGCGGGTCATACTGTTGATTCCTTAGCTTGACAGTGTCCCCCAAGGGAACCCAACCTCTGTGTCTTGACCACTGTCTGGGCTTGGGCGGCTGTTACGGTTTGATCACGCAGCGAGCAACAATATGATATGTGGATTGTGGCAATACTCTATCCCCAGCTATGTTGCTTGATCCAGACTCCTAGCACGGCGGATAGTAAGAAGACGAAAAACCTCGGACTTAAGCTTTAATGGTCCAACAACTCGCGATCAACAGGCGATCGCGGGGAAAAATTACAATGCATATATATATTCATAGTTTGACCTTGAAGATGCCGGAAGTTCGCTAGCACACATAAAAATACAGAGTTTTTTT